ATCATCACCAGCATCATAATACTGACCTCTCCTCCTCCTGGTCATCGTCAGCGCATCTTCAGCATCATCGTCCATCGTCATCTCATCGTCATCATCATCATCAGCATCATCACCATCGGCATCATCATAATAATAATAATCATCATCATCATCATCATCATCATCATCATCATCATCATCATCATCCCCACCATCATCAAGATCATCATCAGCAGCATAATCAGAATTTTCAGCATCATCAGCATCATCATCATCATCATCCGTCATCATCCATCATCATCCCCACCATCATCCATCATCATCATCATCATCATCATCACATCATCATCATCATCAGCAGCAGCAGCATCATCATCATCATCATCATCATCATCATCATCATCATCATCATCATCATCATCATCATCATCATCATCATCCTGTTGCTCCTCCTCCTCCTCCTCACCCTCCTTCCCCTACCTCATACCTCGCCCCCGTGGCCCCCTCACGGCCCCGCGCACTCGCAGACGGGTGGGGCTTGCGGCTCCAGTCGTGGCCGTTTGCGAGGCGGCGGTCCCGTGGTTCGCTGGACGTCGAAACCCAGGGGTGGCGGCGGCGGAAGCGGCGTGCAGGTCGGCGGCGAGGGCGGCGCCGGGAGCAAGGCGGAAGTGCGGCGGGGCCTCTTGGAAGGTGGTGCTCTTGCCGCGCTTGACGGGCGACTTCGGCCGCTCTTCCGCCGACGGGGAGGCGGGAGCCTTCGGCCGGCCAGGGGGCGGGAGTCGAGGAGAGAGAAGAGGACAGGGGGGAGCAGAAACGGGAGGGAGTGTAGGGAGATAGGGGGGAGCGCGAAGGAGAACTGAGGAGAGACGGTGAAGTGTCGAAGGGAGACATGTCTCATCACCCCTCCTCCTCCTCCTCCTCCTCCTCCTCCTCCTCCTCCTCCTCCTCCTCCTCCTCCTCCTCATATTATGATTAGATGTAGCATTATTATTCTTATTATGTTTATCATTCTTACTCTTATTGTATCATTATTCTTGTTATCATTACTATTATTCTCATTCGCCTTATTATTCTTATTCTTATTATTACTGATATTATTATTCTGATTCTTAGTATTACGATTATTACTATTCTTATTATTATTATGATTATCCTTCTGGTTTGCCTTATTAGTATGATTCGTCTTACCATTATTGTTCTTCTTCTTCATTTATTCGTATTATTATTCTGGAGATTATTATTCTCAGTACTGTTATTATTGTTAACAGTAGCATAAGCAATATTATTCTTACTATTTTCTGATTAAGCTTAGTATTGACATTCTTATTCTTATTCGTAGTATTCATATTATTCTTCGTATTGGTATTTTCATGATTGTTATTAATAGTATTTCTCGTGATAGTAGCATTGCTACGTTTATAACTACTACTGTTATATAAGTCTTTTACTATTACGGATATAATTAATAGTAGTATTCATTATTGATGGTATTGTTCTTATGACTATTATTCGTAGTAATACTATTACTACCTCATAGTCAATAGTCATAATATTAGTACCAATATTGGTATTAAGAGTATTGGAATTAACAGTGTTGGTCGTATTATTACTGGTAGTAACACTAGAATTATTATATAAGTATTAGTATTACGAATGCGATTAATATCATTACTATCATTCCGATGCTTCGTCTCATTGTGATTATTCGCATTATCATTGGATGTACTATACTTACTGTTAGTACTAGCATGCTCCTGGTATTCTTATTAGTCTTGGAATGATTAGTATGGTTCTCACGCTTAAGATTATTACTAGCATTCGGTGTATTGTCCTTGTGCGTATTACTCGTATTATCATCCTTCTACTCCTTCGTACTATTACTATCAGTATGATTAGTACTAGTGTTGTTATATATCGCATTCATCGCGTTACTATAAGTATCAGAATTGTCAGTGGTATTCGTAGGGAAAATAATAATATCATTAGTAATAGTATCCATCGTCGTGCTAGTATGCCAAATGTTAACACTACTACGAGATCTGATTTTATTGTTGCTAATATTACTGTTATTTTTTTATCCGTCCTATTATTCATATTTTTCCTCCTCCTCCTCCTCCCCCTCCTCCTGCTCTTCATCCTCCCCCTCCTCCTCCTCCTCCTCCTCCTCCTCCTCCTCCTTTTCCTACTCCTCCTCCAACAACCATCATCATTATCAGCATCACCATCATCAGCATCATCATCAACGTCATCATCGTCATCCCTATCCTCGTCCTTCTCCTGATCCTCGACCTCGATCTCATCCTCATCCTCACCCTCCTCCTCATCCTCTTCATCGTCCTTCTCCTCCTCCTCATCATCATCACAATCTTCGCCATTATCATTGTTTCTAGTCGACCTTGCTCCTCCTCCACCTCCTCATCATAGTCCTCATCATCCTCACCCTTATAACAATCAGAATCATCAGTATAGTCCTCGATATCGTCATCATCGCCCTCATCATCATCAGCAGCAGCAGCATCATCATCATCATCATCATCATCATCATCAGCATCATCATCATCATCATCATCATCATCATCATCATCATCATCCCCACCATCATCATCATCATCAGCATCATCATCATGATCATGATCATGATAATCATCATCATCGTCGTCATCATCAGCATCACCATCACTATCATCATCATCATCATCACCACCACCACCACCATCATCATCATCATCACCACCACAACTATTATCATCCTCATTCTCCTCATCCTGTCTTTCCTCCTCCTGTCGCGCGACAGAATGCCAGAATGGCTCTGCAAAGCACGGCCACACGACTCCTGCCTGGCGCAGTGCAAATGCGATTTCGGCCTGTTGCAACCCCCATCCCTTCTGGCTACCTAACACACCCAAGCCGAAGACCCGAATTTGACCCAAATTTCGGGTTGGGGGGGGTTACGGTTCCATGTTTTTTACCATGTTCCCCGACGCCCCCACTATTGGAAAGGGAAGGCAAATTGAAGCCTTCGGGTTGGGTTGGGGTGGTTTGGTGGGTGGTGACCTTCTGCCTCCTGACCCACCATGCAGGGAGGGGAAGATGGCAACAGGAGGAGGGCGGAGGAGGAAGATGAGGAGGGGGCCGGAACGAATGAGAACTTGGGAGGGGAGGCCGATGCAGAGCGAGGGCAGAAGACGGAAGCGGGAGGGGGCAAGGATAGAAGATGGAGGATGGAAGAGAAAGGGAAAGAACATAGAAAAAAGGGAAAGAGCGAGGGAGTCGTCTCTAAAACGACGGGAAGATCGGGACAAAATCGGATCGGGATAACTCGAAATCTCTGAGAATCGGCGGGTTTGGAGGATGTATTGGGCGCCGCGGCCGCTCGAGAGCGTTCCGGAACGCTCTGAGAGCGCTCCAGAACGCTCTGGAGCGATTTATCCCGATCCTAGCCCTGTTTTAGTCTCCGCCCTCTGCTCCCCTCCACCGTCCCGCCTCGAAGGACGCCTTGGCCGGCGCTTTCGCCGGCGCCTTGACCTCATCGGGCGCCTTGGCCTTGGAGGTCGAAGCCCGCCGTTTGGGCTCCCGCGCGGGGGGGAAGCATCCTGCCTCATGCATCCTCCTCCTTCCTTCCCTCCCTCCTGCACCTCCCTCTGGTCCTCCCCCCTCCCTCATCCTCCTCATCTTCAAAATGTTCGTTGTCCTCGTTTTCCTCCTCCTATGTTTTTCCTCCTTGTTCGCATCCTCCCCGTCCTCCTCCTCCTCCTCTTCCTCCTCCTTCTCCCCCTCCCGTATCATCCTCCTCTTCCTCTTCCTCGTCAACATCGTCACAATCGTGACCATCATCATCATCATGATCATCATCATCACCACCACCACCATCATCAAAACTACCATCATCATAACCATCGTCACCATCATCATGATTGTCACCACCACCGTCCTTATTAACTATCATCATACGCATCACCATAGTCAGCACCACTATCGTCGTCAACGCCATCTCCACCATCAACACCACCACCGTCCTCATCATCATCATCATTCTCATCATCATCAGCACCACCACCACCAACATCATCATCATCCTCGCCACCACCACAACCACCACCACAATCACCATCAGCATAATCATCATCATCACCACCACCACCATCAGCATCATCATCATCAGCAGCATTATCGCCATCACCATCACAATCACTATCACCGCGACCATAATCATCATCACCATCACCACCATTGCGATCGTCATCGCCATCATCCGGATCATCACATTCACCATCATCATCATCATCCTCATCATCATCATCATCATCATCATCATCATCATCATCATCATCATCATCATCATCATCATCATCATCATCATCATCATCATCATCATCATCATCGTCACCACCATCATCCTCAATGTTCCCCCGTCACGTCCCCCATCTCCTCCTTCTTTCCTCTCCCCCTGTCCTCACAGGGATACGGGGGACGGGCGGAAAAAGGAAGGCCGGGGGCCCGATGCGGCCAGTTCTATGCCCGTCGCCTTGACCGCTGGCTTCGGCGAAACTGGCTTGGCTGCTGACTCCGCGGCTGGCGATGTAGCCTGCCGCGAGGCGGGAGACCTTCAACTCCCCGGCCTCACTCTGCGTCCTCCCTCCTGCTTCAGCATGCTCCCCCTCCCCCTCTTCCTTCTCTTCGAGAGGCTCGCGACTCGCCCCCATCACACCCTGATCATCGCCGGGAGCGAGACCATGGGGTGGCGCAGCTGCAGAACGCCTCCGCCAGCTCGGCCCGCAAGCGCGGCGGCCATAGAAGAAGAAAACGCGCCATACACATAGACTTTTCGCGCTCCGCGCGGACTTCTTGCATCTGCGCTGGGCCCCCCCCCCTGGCGCGCGGAGCGCGCCAAGAGTGGCGCCGGAGGCGCCGCCCGGGGGGGCGCAGCGCGGATCCAAGAAATCCACGTGGAGCGCCAAAAGTTTATGTTAGCTCCCGCTGCTTTCCCTCCTCGTCTTCATTGGCACAAGCACCAAGGTTCCAGGGGCGCTCCCGGCCCCCGGCGCGGGGCCGAAGCGGCTGACAGCTAGGACAGGAGGCGTGGTGGCGCCGCAACAATCAAGCGAGAAACGGGGCGGGCGGGCGGGACAAGCGGTCCCACCCTTGAGCCCAAGACGGCAGCAGGCATGCGGCGCGCGCGCAGCTGAGGAGCGAGGAGGGGACGCGGGGAGCCCGACTTGGCTTCACCCGTGCGCGTCCGAGCGTAGGCGTGTCGCCTTCTGCGAGGCCAGGGCCCAGCGTTAGGTCGGGCATGTCCTCCTACAGGGGGATTTTGGACGAAAAGTAAAGTATACCCCAAAAGTACTCAGCAACAGTAATTTAAAATGTAGTTAAAACTTAAAACGTTAATGTACTATTATGTGTAAATATATAAGATAAACATATATATATATATAAATAAATAAACCAAAAACTATGTTTTCAAACTATTTTTGAATATGGCGCAGGGCGGCGGGGCTTCGGCTGCCGCCCACCGCCACGGCGCGCGCGCGCCCCGGAGGGCCGTCCGCGCGCCCGTCGACGCGCCCGCGCCCCTCGGGGAGGAGGACGCCCCGCGCGGCCGCTGCCGGGAGGAGCCCTCGACGCCGCCGGGCACGCCGTGGCGCCAAGTCGGGCGCGTCCCCCTGCAGCGCGGGCTTCGGAGGAAGAAGATAGGAAGCACCCGAACAAGATTCGGGCAGAACCAAAAGTAGCATTTCACAAAAAAAGAAGAAACCAAACAAAAACAAACAAACAAACAAACAATAAACAAAAAAAAAATGCCCTGGACGAATGTTTTACTATTTGGGGATGTTCCTCCTGTGGAGACACATCCCCGACTCAGCCGTAGCGCACCGTGACATGTCGATGCAGGTGCGCGGGCGGTGTGCCCGCTGCTTCGTCGGCGAGCTGCGACGGGCCCTCCTCTCCGCTCGCGCCAATCTCCCAAGTGCTTGCCGCCATGCCGCGCCTGCTCCTTCCCGTGTCTTGGCCTCGCAGCGCCTCGCTGCTCGCGATGGCGGTGGCGGGGATGCTCGAGCCCGTCGGCGAAGCGCGAGCGCCGGCACACGAGGCCGCTGCAACGATAGATGTTGGGGGCATGATCCCAAACCGTCCAAAAAACGCGAACGCGCACAGAGAGCGAAGACGCGCCAGCTTCGCCGGGAGAGTAGCCACCGAGGCGAATATATAGAGGCGGTGCTTCGCAGGGAGAGTAGTCCCCGAGGCGAGCATAGCGGCGGTGATGGTGAGGAAGTGGTCGTAGCTGGCGAGGACGTCACGCAAGCTGGCCATGGCTGTAGTGAAGATGCGGAACGTGCCCGGCGGACCTATTCATGACCGTCCTCGTAGGACAGGTTCTGCGAAAGCACGTATCTTTACATACAGACACACACTGCGCATTCAAATGTGATCGAGCAGACGTTGTCGACGGATGTGTGACGCAAGTCTCTGACACATTTTAAAGCAAACTGGAGAGTCATAGCGTCGAGAAACAAGGCCAAACAAAAATACGAGTTAGCCCTTCTCCGATCCCAGCAGGCGAAGAGTGCGCTCGTTGCGGTACGACTTGGCCACGATGTCATCGGCGCGGCGCCTCTTTTATTATTCTCAAGTGCCCAACTCTTCCGCTGCATCGCGCTCTTGGTCAAGGGCCTCAGACAGCAATTGTCTGGCAGTGATGTTTGAAAGACGTCTTTGGAGGCGTGCCCAGCAATCTGGCAGCCTGCAAGGCCACCCGCGGCGCGCGCCCGCGCGCTCGGAGCGCGGCACTTTGGACCTCGGGGCGCCGCGCGACTGACCTACCCAGGCCCCTTGCCTGGCGGCGCTCGGCCGCCCCAGCTGGCATGTAAAATGTGGCAGAGCAGGCCACGCCAAACGCAGCGCCCCACGACAGGGGCAGGGGTGATGCCGCTCGGCGTGCCTCCTCCTTCTCCCCTTCCGTGGACCGGAGCTCCTGCCGGACGCCCTGCAGCCAGAGCACCTCGCGGCTGCGCGTCACGACGCCTTTCGTCCACTTCTGACTTCTTCAGCTGCGCGCCGCACTCCTCGTGCACCGCACACACGACGTGCAGGTCGGGCATGTCCTCCTACAGGAGTATTCTCTCTGGAAGAACAAACGTCAACAAATGAACAGAAAGATACTAACGAGAGCACGAACAGACTACTTCCTCGCAGTTCTGGAATGTTCCTCCTGTAGAGGGACATACCCCAGTTAACACGAGGTCTGCGAAGCCAGTACGTGGGGAAACCAAAAGGTACCGGTACCGCTACTCCCCGGAACTCTCCTGGGGTGCGTCCTGACCAGGATCTCGGGGCGGATCCAGCGGTGGCGACGAGGGCCTTCCAGGAGGCCCAAAAAGGGGAAAACTAGTGAAGAGTAGCAGTATGAATACCTTTTCCTCCTCTGAATTTTCTTACCTTACAGCTCTTGAGTATTCCTCCTATAGAGGGACATGCCCCAGTTAACACGATGTCTGCGACGCCAGTACGCGCGTGCTCTCGGACCCTTAGACGAAAAAACAACCATTTAAACATAATTTTTTTCGCGCTCCGCGCTGATTTCTTGGATCCGCGCCAGACCCCCTCCCTGGCGCGAAGAGCGCGCCAGGGGCGGCGCCGGAGGCGCCGCCAGGGGGGCCCCAGCGCGGATCCAACAAATACACGTTTTTTGTCGCAGCCGCAAGCGAAGGCGCAGGCGGCGTCAAGGGTCGACCCGGGCTACGGGCGGAAGCTAGTCATCCAGCGAGCGCGCTCACGGCTGCCAAAGCTGCCGCCAACCCCAAGAAATACACGCGGAGCGCCAAAAAGTTTATGCTTGTGTGGTTTTTTTCTTCTCCGACCTCTGGCGATCGTAACCGCGCGGCGGCCCCGCCTCGTCCCCGCGTGCCGTCCTGCCTGCCGGCCTTCGGGCTGCCCTGCCCGTGGCGCCGATCCGTGGCTTCCCCACCCCAAAAAAAAGGTCTCGCGCAGGACTCGAAGGCACACGCCACGAGGAGCAAGGAGAAGGCCGAGGAGGGGAGACCCAAAAAGGGCGAGGAGAGGGGGGGAAAACGAGGAGGGGGAGAAGCAGGAGGGGGAGGAGGAAGTGGACGAGCGGGAAGAGAGTAGACACGGGGAGACTGCGACGCTAAGGAGCACGAAGAAGATGAAGAGGCTCTACTCCATCTCGACTGTTGCGTCGCCATCGAAGCTCTCTTCGTCCTCCTCCTCCTCGTCCTCCTCCTCCTCCTCCTCCTCCTCCTCCTCATCATCATCATCATCATCATCATCATCATCATCATCATCATCATCATCATCATCAACATCATCATCATCATCATCATCGTCATTATCAGCATCATCATCAGCAGCATCAGCAGCATCAGCATCATCAGCATCATCCTCATCCTCATCCTCATCCTCATCCTCATCATCATCATCATCATCATCATCATCATCATCATCATCATCATCATCATCCTCACCATCATCATCATAATAATAATCAGCATCACCATCATCATCATCATCATCATCATCATCATCGTCATCGTCATCGTCATCATCATCATCATCATCATCATCATCACCAGCATCATCGTCAGCATCATCAGCATCATCATCATCACCAGCATCATCATCATCATCACCAGCATCATCATCATCATCGTCATCGTCATCATCATCATCATCCTCACCATCATCATCATCATCATCATCAGCAGCATCATCATCATCATCATCATCATCATCATCATAATCATCTTCTTCCTCCTCCTCCTCCTCCGCCTCCTCCTTCCCCTCCTCCTCCTCCTCCCCCTCCTCCTCCTCCTCCCTCTTCGTGCACCGACAGAGTCGACGGTCTTCTGCGCATCGGCTGTGGAGCGCTTCTCCACGCGTGGCCACTCCGTGCAGAGCGGGCACGGGCGCCGGAGTGCCCACGACAGGCTCGGGCGCCACGGGCGCGCCACGCTGCACCAAAAAAAAGCGGGCTCACGCCCTCGCGAGAAGCAGCCTCGTGCCGGACCTCCCTTAGGGAGACAAATAGGGAGACAACGAGTCACATAGTTAAACATAGAAGCTCGGAGGTCCGCGCGGATTTCTCGGATCGGTGCTGGACCCCCCTCCCTGGCGCGCGGAGCGCGCCAGGGGCGGCGCCAGAGGCGCCCGCTGGGGGGCCCCAGCGCCGATCCAAGAAATCTGCGCGGACCTCCGAGTTGTTCTGTTTATGCCATTTTTTGTTCCCCTATCTCTCCCGCTCGAGCCTTCCCCCTCCTCCCGTGGGTGCGGGCGGTGGGAGGGACGAGGGCGGCGATGATGCTTCTCTGCTCCGACGCGTGGTCTCTGCCCTGCGCCTGGAAAAGGCGGCCACCGGGAGCGGGTGCGAGTGGTACCAGTTCGACTGCCGGCGCCAGGGACGCTGAGTCGGGCTCGGACTGACGGCCGCGCCGTGGTGCGGCACTTGTGGCTGTTAGTCTGGTTCGTCTCGCGTCCCGTGCTACTTTTGGGGGTCGAGCTGCCAACATGGCGGCTTCTGGTGCCTTTGCGCCAGTACCCTGTGCTGTAGTTGGCTCACCCCTTCCTGGTGGGCGATGTCACTTTGCGCGTGGCGTGGTCGCCCCTATCTCGCAGCAGTGATGCGCGAGCCGTCGTGGGTCCTCTCTTGACTCGGCTCCGCTGTACACTGGTGGAGCACCTTGTCACCCCCCAGAGGACTCGCCCACCTCTGGGGGTGCCCGTGGGCTCCATTCGCGTGGATGTTGAACAGAAAAATCCCTCCTCACCCGTCTCCTCTGATTTCCTGCATGCTCGCTCGCGTTCCTCCCCTTCGCCCCTTCTCCCCCGCGCCTCGGGGCCTCCCCGCGCCTCGGGGCATCCGTCACGTCCTGCCCTCGCCTTCCGCCCCGTTCGCGCCGCTGGGCCGCTGGGCCACGGAACCTGCGACGAGGAGCCCGCCCCGAAGGCGCTTCCAAAGTGCCTTCGGCGCGCGCGAGCGCGCGCGGCGCAGTCTGTTCGGCGCCGCGGCTGCGCGGCACCAGCGTCAAACGGGCAGTTTTCTGCGGCGGCACCCGTGCTGGTCGAGAGCGTAGGACGATGCCCCTCCTGTCCCCGCGGTCTCGGCTGCCCCCTCCGCGTCCTGCTCCTCGCCGCATCGCGCTGCGGTCGTCGGATCGCCTCCGCTCGCCTCCGCACGCTCGGCGCCGTCGCTTCGGCTTCGCCTGCGAGGAACCCGGTGGGAAACGATCACGCTCCCAATTGTTCTACGTTGCTGCATCTTGCAGCACTGGGCACAGCACGTGCCACGTGTGTGTACACATATATGTATATACATCTATATATATATATATATGAATATATATATATATATATATATATATATAGAAATAGGCATAGACATGGACATGGACATAGGCATAGACATAGACATAGACATAGACATAGACACAAACATAAACATAAACATATGCATATGTATACACATATACATATGCAAATACATATGCATATATATATATATATATAGATGCATCTATATATACATATATATATACATATATATAGATCTACATATACATATACACGCATACATATACATATACATATACGTACACGTATACATTTACATGTGCATGTAAGTAAATATAATTATACATTTGCATACCACATATACATATACGTATGTATATATACATGTGTATATGCATATAAAAAAACATACACATAGACATATACATATACGTATACATACACAGATACACATATACACATATAAACATGTTTACATATACAGTTACCTGTACATATATACATATATATACATATACATATACATATACATATACATATACATGTATTTACATGCACATATAAATATACATATACAAATACATATACATAAACATATACATAGACATAGACATAGACATAGACATATACATATACATATACATATAAATATTCATATAGTATATATATATATATAACATATATGTATACATATACATACACATAGATCGGAAGTTCATACCACACACGGAATTGAAGGCCCCGAGCCTCACGCAGGTGTACGAATGTGGCGGAGAGGAAGATCCTTCAGGGCCCGGACCACGATTGTCCCAGAAGCTCGGGGCATTCCTGGGTGCTCTCGGGTGCTCTTGGGGTGTGTCGCGTCGGCCTGCGGGACGGTGAACCCGCCCAGAACGACCCGACGAACATGCATCTACAACCCAGGCAGTGGCGGGATGTGCCGAAGACCATTAGATATGGCACGCTGTAGATTCATGCAAGAAAACACGTAGGCTTCAGCGTGGACC